TAAAGGTATGTATTTCACTTCTAAGTTCATTTCTCCTTTCTATATCATGACCCACTATATGATTTTAAATGTCAAGTTGTTTAAAGCTCGACCAACGATTAGGACTAATCGGGTTTGAACAACATGGTATTGTAAGCCTCGTGCATAGTTGACTCATGTACTCATAAAAATACCGCTGTACAAAATTACGTACTCACAACCACATGCAGCTAGAGGGAAAAGAGTGAAAAGTTTGTAAGTCTATTTGTTTGTAATTTCTTTAGCTATAACTTTAGCTCTTTTGCTTATTTGCTTATTATCATTTCTTAGCGAATCGTTTATGAACAAGTTGATAATTAAACCTACGAAACGAATGCGAACCGTGATCATAACTGACCCGTCTACTGCACAGGTATAGTAGTTTAGAATTATGAGAAATCTGCTAATGAATAGTCAAGCCTTCAATGTTGGTTTCATATACAGTTTCCAAAAGATATATATTCGCCTTTTAATATTCTTAGCATTCTGACCAAGCATATATTCAAGTTGTCATATCAAGTTGTCAGTTATCAAGCAGAATCGTCGAAAATGGCATACGCCCCAACTCGAGGTATGTTATTTTCTTAATTATAGTTATTTAGTGCGCTCCTCCACGAGTGAATGGTGGCAACTAGTCTGAGCTCCGTGTTATAAAGAAACAGTTCATTAAAAAAGACAAATTTAACACCTTAAAAAAGGAGGTGAAACAACTTACTGATGTTTCTGACGTTAATCCTTCGTCAGAGCGAAAAAGGCGACGGTGTTAAATTTACCTTTTTACACAACTCGGATTCCTTTTCGTTATCAATTTTTTTGATTAATTTCTCTTCTAAATGATACAAGTATTTCTTGTGACATTAAGGGATGTACTTCTGATGTTAGCTATGGGGATCTTTTCTTTTGTGGTATAAACTAATTTGGATCGTCTTTTTATTTTGGCAAATTTCATTGTAGACATGTCCTTTATAGAAGAGGAGATCAAAGAAGACACGAGAAGAGCACGGGAAGAGAGGGAGAAAGAGCAGAGGCGTCGGGAAGTAGAAGAAGAATGTTAGCTATCGGGATCTTTTCTTTTGTGGTGTAAACTAATTTGGATCGTCTTTTTATTTTGGCAGATTTCATTGTAGACATGTCCTTTATGGAAGAGGAGATCGAAGAAGACACGAGAAGAGCACGGGAAGAGAGGGAGAAAGAGCAGAGGCGTCGGGAAGTAGAAGAAGAATGGAGAAGACTTGAGGAGGAAAGGGCGAAAGAGGAGGCCAGAAGGAAGAAGGAGAAAGAAATGGCAAAAAGACGAAACAGACGTCGCGTTCGACGAAACACGCRACCCGGCCAAATATCACTACCAAGGAATGACCTGCGTCGGGTGATCAATGCGCGCTGTATGTATAACAAATCCATTTCTTAGTGTATTTTTTATTAGGTGTAAGCAATTTGTTATCCTCATCAGTAACTTCGTGTCCACATTTAAATGCCAATTTATTATTTCTTCTACAGCTCTGTGTTTGAACTGCGGCCAGGGAGGCCATTACATGGCCCACTGCCCTAGGAAGACGAACCACCCAAGCGTTCACAACTACACGTTTTCGGGACCAGTACAAATGAAAAAAATCCACGGCGATAAATAATTTTCATTGACATTTTCATTGACATTTTCAGTTTTGATTTTTTATTCTATATTATTATTGGTGATTAAAGTGTGTTGACAAAAATCATGTATCTTATTTTGTCTTTGTCTTATTAAGCGCCTAGTCTCATTTACAGACCCATAATTCTAAATCATTGTAAAAAAGTCGTTTCATTTTCGCATAGTATTGACGTAAACTTGTGGTACCACAAGAACATGAATTCCACTATTTTGTGATTTGGATTTCTTKTATTAGCACTTTAARGCTTATTCTTTGTTTATTCRTTTTATTATTTAAGTTAGCAGAAAAATAGTCAAAATTTTGATTAAATGCCCATAGTTTATGCTGATCTGTAAAATGATATTGCAACCTTCAAAGATGCCTAATTTGAAAAAATAACTTTTTTTGCCTTGTCTGGTTGTGACAAGAATTACCATAAACAAAATTCTCTATAAATAAAAATCATTATCTACATGTATTATGATGAGATTTTTGAAAATGAATAGTAACTGATGTTACAAACTATTTATATGATGTTTTGGAGCAGCAATATGCAGAAATTATAATGATTTTGACTCATATTCCAAGTATATATAAAATATACCAGAAACCTTTGGATATCATCGCTTATATTTTTTTTKAAGTTGTCTAGCACTAGCACTATATTACTTTGTTAATAAAATTTTATTGAGAAAAAAAAATATCAGTGATATCCCATAGTTTCTGATATATCATATAGAGAGGATATTACATGGGCGCCCGAAGATATGGATTTTATCTTCGAGTGTTGAACTAAGAAGATAAAATTCATATCTCCAAGCGACCATGTAATGTTCTGTTTATTATATGATTAAAAAATACTGACAAGATTGACTAATGAAGAATTTTATTTCAATTTTTTAGCGAACACACACGCACAACTTTCTGCATTCGTACATGATTAGTTAACTCCAATGTTTCATTTCTCAAAGATTCAAGAAATTAAAATACAGAGAAATTTTATAAAAATTGATCTAAGCAATCAAAATTAAAAGCCAGAATAGTTCAGGCAAAAAATACAAATTTTAGAATAAACTTATAAAGTTTGTCATTTTTACCCCGTCACTCTTGGCTTTCGTCGCTTCTTTCTACAACGCGTATACGTTTCCACTTCTCGTTTTACAGGACATTTCTGCTGCAAGTTTACATTAATATTGAATGTTCCTCCTCTAACCAAAAGCTGAAGAGGCTGCTTGCTGTTCGGCCTTATGACTGACACGATATTCCTCTGTCGACTCGGCAGCAGCTTGTTTTGTTGTTGTTGTTGTGCATGAACTTTGGGTAGATGTAGGACCTCTAAATGCCAAAACAGTGTTTGATATGTTCTCTTGATGATTGTCTTGTTCACCGAGTTGGCATTACGGTGCCCCGTRTGATTTGCATGATCTGAGTAGGCGGTACATTGTTGTCTCGATCCTTAGATGAATTTTGACAATAGGTCATTCAGAACTGTGGTTGAAAGTTCATGAATTGAACTTGAACTGAGTATCTCGGGGCTCACTGCTTGAATAAACTCGGTAAAAAGTAGGATGTCGTACGCTGTTTTTCGTTTTGTATTTACATTTTCCTGTTTATCGACGAAATCATGGATGTCTTCGTCAGTTATACATTTACCACAAACCTTGGCAAAAGCTCATTCATGGTTTCTTTCTTGAACGAAAAAAAAAAAACACGTCAAACTTTTTAGTGAACGCGCGTTGTGTTCTAATTTGCATATTTCAGATGCCCGCGAAAATACTGAAATCTCATTGGTCAAAACTTGTTATCGCCACAGTGCTGATAACATTGATATCAACACCGGTGGCAGTGGGGATATCAGTTTTATCATTTTGATATTCCCTAGTATCACACTCTATATCGTATAATAAATATATATGCTTGTCAATGAAATATGAGTCAAAAGATTATAATTTTTCCATATTGCTGTATATACAATGTACACTCTATTTGTAATATTTCTGACCCACCTACAATAATGTTCATATATATCAAAATGACCTTTAATATTATGGGATATCGTGACAGATAATTTTTTAATACCAGCACTGTTATCCCATAATTTTACCTAATATTAGCATGGGTCAGAATTATTGCAAATAGCTAGATGCTATAAAAATTGCATAAAATGATAGCTAAACTTCAAAAGTCCTTAATATTATCTTCATAAAATTACTTTTCTTCAAAAGGGTTTTGTGTTTTGTGTTTTTTGTCCAAAAAAACTTATACAATTTTTAAGTCAGATTTATAGCTCTCTGCCATTTTGTTAAYAAGGTTAACTGCAATATAGACAGTTATATGTCTTGCACCTTAGCATACTGTACTGCTGTGGGGAACCAACAAGCAGAGCGCCTTGTTTTTTTTATATGTGTCTGTTGCGCGCACTACATTTCACTGTACTGGTCCTGCACAACCTCCTCTTTGGTAAGTATAGGGTTGTGACAGGTGTGAAGTTCCTTCCTTCTGGTATACCAGACATCTTCAAAATTAATTTGACACCACAATAAATTGAATTTGTTTGGAACAAGCTTGTTTAGGACAATCTTGTGTAGTTTATTTTATACATTTGAGAATATTAAGGAAACACTTGGCACAGTCGTGTGGAAGAACGTAATAGAAAACAGATATTTTTKTAAAAGTTTTGAAGCTATGCACTAAATTATGCAAAGCTATGTAGGAATAAAAATAAAAACCTTTGTATGAAATTCTGTTCTAGGCCTTGGTAGCCTTGATAGTATTAAAATGTTTCTCTGAAACTTTGAGAAATTAACTTTAGCTTTGATATCCATCATCTGAGAGTTTTCGTCTTGTCAGCATTATTAATTGAACAATAATATKCCACTTTGTCTTCTTTTAGGAAAGTCGTGAACGAAAAAATCATACTTATAATTGCAATAGACCTCTTAGCCTCCACGGTCACGTGACCTGAAGTGGGTAAACATAAAATCCAAGATGGCGKACAGTGTTGTCTCCCTCTGCGATTCCTGGTCAAAAAGTTTAAAAAATATCCCCAAAACTACTGCTTTTACGATTTCAAATYATCTRCAAAGCTGTGGAAAAAAGGAAATCGGGGAAAAAGGCTATAAATTTTTCACTRAAAACTATCTACATAACCTTTTTGCCAGAGTTGATGGTTTAAATGACAGCGCTCGTTGCTCCGTGAAAGCCATGTGCTATCGCAGTCAAAAGAAGTCAGAAGCACCACACATACCTTTTGTTACTTAATTTGCGATGAAAAATTATCTGTACAACGTTATGAAACGATAGTTCATATTTCTATTAGCAGTTACTTTTATTTTTCATTTTAATTTACTTGCATCACATTTGTTCAAACAACCCACATGACATTAATTTATTGTTGTGTTTTGTAATCTTTCAGAGTTGGTGGTCATTGCAACCATGTATTTRCCTTACTTTACCTACTCAACCATTGGTCCTTACTTGGTATTGAAGATATTCCAGCTGACTTGACATGCACTAGTATTGCACAACAATGGCATAAACCAAGAGGAGAGTCAATAAACCCCGAATCTCTAATGAAATATCATTTTGAAGACCTTCTCGTATGAACTCGCTCCTGTACTGGCTGATAATTTCAATGCTTCGCTGCGTGAAGRCTGCCTTCCCTCTCCTCTGCGGTGGTTCGTCCGCTACCCAAACAATCTCCGCCTTCGTCCATCCAAAACGATATTAGACCCATCTCCTTGACTTCAGGGATCGCCAAGCTGTTTGAAGGTTTTGTCCTCTCTAGAATTCTACCCGACATCTTAGCTAATTTGGACATCAAGCAGTTTGCTATGGCGGGAAGGTCCACCTCACATGCTGTCATGTACCTGCTACACTTGTCCCTTGAAGCATTAGACAGTGGTAACTGCTGGATTAGACTGTTCTTTGCGGACTTCCGTAAAGGATTTGACCWAATTGATCATAAGTTATTAATAGATAAACTCACCACTTTTAACATCCATCCCTGCTTAGTTCGGTGGATCGCATCGTTCCTGCTCAACAGATCTCAATGTCTAAATGAGTCCTCTGCGTTTACTAGTGATATTTGTAATACCGAGCTTTCGGCCTAAGCGGCCATTATCAAGGTAGAGTACACGTAAGATTTTAAACAACGCAAAAAACGGAAAGCGCGCGAGGAAACAATGTGTTAGTATAGCTGGGTCCTGTTCCCCACCCCTGTTTCTAAAGGGAGGGATACCCCAGGGCACTAAATTAGGCCCCTTGTTGTTCTCTGTCATGGTAAACGATTTAGTCTCCAACTGGGGACCGCGAGCCAAGTATGTCGATGACCTCACTATATTAGAAATCATCCCTAGGAATTGCCCCTCGTACCTGAGTTTTATAGTCAATGATATAGAATCATTTGCATTCCATAACAAAATGCRTTTAAATCCTACCAAATGCAAAACCATGCAGATAAACCCATTACATTATAATAGCTACTCGTGCGCGCCCCTTTCCTCCTGTGGTGCCGTCATAGAATGTGTCTCGTCTTTTAAATTTCTTGGTGTTTACATCTCCCATGACCTGACGTGGAGCGTCCACTGTGACTACATAAWCAAAAAGTCCAACCGTAGGCTTTATGCTCTCAGAATCCTCAAAAATAGCGACGTAGACGCGTCTGATATTGTTGCAGTGTATTGCTCATTAATTAGACCTATACTTGAATACGGCTCTGTCTGTTTTGCCAATCTGCCTAAATACTTATCATTAGATCTTGAGAGAGTTCAGAAACGCGCACTTGCTATCATCTTTCCCGACCTATCATATAAAATTGCACTTGAAGCAGCYAACTTAGAATTACTGGAAGACAGAAGATCCTCCGCTTGTAAGGACTTTATCTCCTCAGTTCAACCAAATAACCCCCTGTATAACATTATTAAGGGTCAGTTAACTAAATCATCGCATAATTATAGCTTAAGAATTTGTAGTAACTCCAGCCTAAGATCAACGAGCACAGATAGATTAAAGCACTTTGCCACCCATAAGTACGCTAAGCTCATATGTAACCAGTAGTACTACTAATTATTTATTGTGAATTTATCTAATCATATTTATTATTTATCCTGACCCCACTTGTAATTCAGTCATGCTTATACTGCATGAAGTGGAAATAAACAAATCTATCTATCTATCTATCTAAATGTGTATTTGTAAAATCAGGCAATTCATCTACAAAAGTACGAAAACTCCAACCTGTTATGTGCAAGCTGTATGATGGGAAAGAGAGTATGTAATGTCCATGTGTAATTTTCTGTCTCCATTCTCATACTTACTTACTGACCAAGAATTTACAAACACAACAMACACAGTTTTTGGAAATGTCCCACTTGGTTCAACTCTAGACCACCAACTCACAGATCTTAATGAGGATAAACTTACGTTTTTATTTAACAAACCTGATAACTGTTTATAACAGTGGACTTATTGTTCAACCTAATATACCCTATTTGGGAGCAACACCAGATGGCAAAGTATTTGATCCAACATGTGCAAGGAAATTTGGATTACTAGAAATAAAATGTCCTTTTACTTACAGAAACATGACAATAGAAAATGATTGTACACAGTCTACCAAAGTTAAAAAAGCAACATTCACAAGACAAATGGCACTCAGTGGACTTGATTGGTGTGACTTTGTTGTTTTTCTTTCAGGTTCTCACACCATTTCTGTTAAGAGAATTTTATTTGATCCACAATACTGGAATGATGAACTTTTGCCAAAGCTAAAATCATTTTATTTTTCTTATGCAGTTGGATATCTTAAAAATAAGTACTTTTAAGTGGATGATTATAACAAACACCTATAAGAACCTAAACATTTTTAGGAAATACATGTAGCCATTAAGTCCTTGTATTTATCAGGAACATTTAACACAAAGGCTACTAAGGTTTCCCAAGAAACGATAAACATTCTCATCAATATTAGCGATTAAAAAACAAATG